CAATATTTGCGATGGAATTAAAACTAGGTGGTGAAAGTGATGGTGCCCTCGTTTTGCAACACTTAGAAGAAAACAATCATGTCAGAACTGTGTGTGAAGGTCGAGCAATACAGTAAACATTGTGTTCTGGCCAAGGTTAATGCAATGAAATATCTTGGTGTTTGTTTTTTTTTTTTCCCTATAAGCATTACCAGCAAAATTTGTCTGCTAGACATGTTTTGCCCTCACCAAGGGCAGAAGTAACTTACGAGTCTCAACTCCCTGTTTTATTCCTCATGGTAACAGTAGTGTGATGACGCACAACCGTCTCTCCCCAGTCCCTGTTAGAAAGGTCAAGCAGGATCTTCTGCACTTTGCAGAAGCCTGCAAACCAAGCCCTTGTGAACAGGACCAGCGAGGGGTATCCCACGGGGACTGCTCCTCTCCCCCAGCTAACCCAGTGACTTTGCCTGCATGCATCAAAGCATCATCATGTATAATCTACTGTGCCATTCCAGTAATGTCCAAGTTACTGCTACAACCACCATGTTGTGAAGCCTTTCCCTCCACGCAGCATCACTTGTCCTTGATGCTTTGGGTGCTTTAGTGCCTCTTTCCAGGAGTCCTATTTGGGACCTGGCACTTAGCTTCTGCACCTGACTTCTGTGCTTCCGTATTTCTGCCCGCGCTCCAGGGTCAGGTTTTAGCTTGCTTTTCTTCCAGATTGTTGTTTGTTTCTAGCCTCTAATAAAAAAGAAAGATCTACCACTTTCAAACCATGTCCCTTGGTAGAAGACAGCTCTGTCTGCCTTGAAGCTGACCTCCAGCTGCCCGAATTTCAGATTCATGACAAAGGCGTTTAGAAACCATGGGAAATGTCTTGAACTCCTCAAGCTCTACTTGAAAAAGTCTACTGTGAGAGGAATCAAGGGCTAATCCATGGAAAAAAGCCTGAAAAGCTTAAGTCAGCGGTGTCTTGGCATTTTGTGAGGGCTCTGCTGCAATGGGGACTTAATAATTTTCTATTTAGTAGATCCAATCAAATAGGCCCCTCACAAAAAAGGCCTGTCCTTTTGCCGGGTCCCTGATACAGTTTTGTCTGTGGTACCTAAAGTTGGTAATACTGAAGCTCAAATCACTTACAAAAGTGGTATAGTTGGAATATTTTGTGCACTTTGATTATTACCTGTGTGCCAATGTACTGACTGTCATGGCACAGACTTCATGTATCATGGACACAGCAGTAGTTTCTGAGTTATGATGTCTGAAGGCACCTCTATGCAACCACAGTGTAATTCCATCAACTTTAATAGGAGTGGATGAAAAATCATTGCTGTCTCTAGAAGCGGAGAGGATACTGAGTGGGTATCCTATGGGGAGATGAGAATAATGGCTCCGTCCATGCTTCTTATCTTTAAACACTATGTCCCTATTTTGGACAAGCGTGTAAAGAACGTGCTGCAGAAATACATCCTACAGCTGGCTTTGTCATGGAAACATGGAGAAAGGCAAAGCCCAGGACAGCAGTATAATTCACCCACAGCTCTGTTGGTGTGACAGTCACAGCTGCTTGGGATGACAGTATTGGACATCAAAACTTCAGCAGTGGCGTACTCTGAATGTCATGTGTACACTGGCAATGGACCATTGCGCTGTCTGAACTCATCCAAGCATTTGTGAACCTTCAGTGTGGGAGTGCAGAGCTGTGCCTTGGGCTTTTTGTTCTTATCGTGGAGAGAGGCTGACTGCAAAAGAGGAAACCTTTCTGCGAAAGCAAAACTGAAACCCACTCTTACTGCCTTTAAAGATTATGTTCAAGTTTTAGGTGTTTCCAGAGGGGAATGAAGTTACAGCAGACATTCACTGCAAGCTCTGATTAAATTCAGTATTCCTCTGCACAGCTTGAGAAACATGAGCTAAAGCCAAAGGATTTGCCATTCAGAAGGCCATATCTGAAAATCAAAGGCAGACTGGAAATGTCTTAAATCTTATGTCCTCTCTCACCTTGACATGTATCACTACTCCTGTAACATCAGATTTTCTGAAAAATCCTGACTTTTCTGGTTGCCCCTTATCCTGTTCAAAGTATCCATAGCAACCCTTTATGAAGGATTATGGGAAATCCAGTATTTTTTACTTAAATGTCTTTTACAGGGGGTAAAAAGTAGGAATTTCATTCTGGATATTTCCTGGACAGAATACCTCGCTTCATAAACCATATCAGTATTTTTATTGAAGAAAAAAATTCTGATGACCTTCCATGCAACCATCAGGTTTATTTTTAGAAGTGTTGAATCTTGCAGTCTTCAAATGCATGGATACATCTTGCATTACAGAAGAATATCGGAGCACTGTAAGTTAGAAATGTTTGCACAGAATGCTTTTCCTACTTACTCATTTTGTGATCATGGGAATGATTAAATAAGACCAGCAATATTTCAGAGTAAATAATAGGACAAACTGTTACATCTAAAGCTCATAACAAGTTACCTCAGATCCCATCTTGTTCCCAAAAGGATGTAGGTGAACTCTTCCGGATGAGATCAGCTCAACACAAAATCTTCTCACCTCAGGTTGTCCCCAGTGTATCCAGAAGGAATAAACAACACTGACCAGTTGCCAGCATGTTCTGTGGTACAGGCATTAGATTATTCCTGTGGTTATCTGGGATACGAGGTGTCTCTGTGTCACCTTCACATCACATCCATGTAGAAGACAATCTGCTGATTTCTCTGGGCTAGTGATAGTCTACAGATAGTCTGAAATTAGGCTTTTATTTACTTCCCATCCAAATAGCAGCCATCAGAAAGAATGGACCTTGTGTTAGGGAAGTTGGACTTTCCAGGGGCAAAACTTGCACATAAATTCTCTTACGTTCATGGACCTAGAGGCAGCTGGTTTGAGAGTTGCCCCACAAGCTGTCTGTGCTGTAGGAGACTTGTGGGTGTCAGGAGCCCTGTTCCATTTGGTGGTCCTTGTCACCATGCTCCTGACAGAGAAGGAAACCTCTCACACACAGGCTGGCTAGAGGGAAGCTGGAAACACATCTCTCTACAAGGTACCTACATGACGTAGAGGATCCACTGGAAGCATAGAAGAGATCCACTGGGTAAAAGGAAAATTTTCTGTGCCTTCCGGAAAGTAATTCTGCTGGTCAAGGCAATGCCCTTGAAGGCATGTAGATGCCATTTAATTGACCCCAGGAGACACATGAGTATATCTGCAACCTTCTTTCTTTTCAGATGTATGTGATGCTTCCCACTTTTGAAGCCTCGTTAATAGTTTCCTCTTCTTTAGCACATCGATGCGGTTCTTGTGAAACGAAGGAACACCCTTTTTTTAAGCCACTTGCTGTCTGTGAATTAATGCTTTGTATTTCTCTTCATAGCAGGTTGTTGTCCTTGTGTCAACAACAGCTGCATATGCAGAGAGAAGGTCAGGCTGTAGTGATTGAGCCATCTTATTCCAAGTTTGCAAAGCAATGTTTCGGATGCAACACTTTTGAGTTTTTCCCTTCCCACTTCCCTTCAATATATTTTATTGGTGTATGTTCAACCCTGTTAGCGTTGTTACAAATGCATATCAGAAAGCTAGCTGTAATGTGTTTTACATAGTTACAAGATAGTGTCCTTGAATTTTGAGGAGACAAGTTTCAAGCAAGACAGGACTGCTTCCGCTGTCTGACTTAGGAGTGCTTCCACTGTAGTTCTCTGAAAGTTAGCATGTGGCAATCACCGCACTCATTTACAGGGCATTTTTGCTTGGATTTAGGTTTTTTAATAGGAAACCCTAAAAAAAAGATTCCGAACTACGGGAGTTTCCCTTATGTTTTTGTTTGAGTGACTCAGTTTTATCTGAAGGCTTAAAAACAAAAATACCCCCAATTTTCCAGAGTAACTGATGTTGCTGCTACATCTTTCATATTTTTTATATAACTTTAAGGGGGTCTTCTCCACTTCCTTTACTTCCTTCTTTCTCCTTCATTCTGTTTTCTTCTAAAACAGAGAGTCTTGAGATGAAAGCTTTGCCTTCTGAAGTCAATGGGAGTTTTCCCATCCGGACCCCATGTCTGGAAAAGAGAAAGGAGAACACCACTGGCTCATTACTGTTTTCCTCTGAAAACGTAAAGCAAAGAACATCACACGCCTGAATCTTGGCAGGGTTCAGAAAAATCTCTGCTGCATAAATGCTAATGATATACCCTTTTGCTTACAGTGGCTTTTTAAAGCAAGAGTTTTCAATCTTTTCCAGTATGTTTTATTTGCTTGTTTTATTTCTTTGTGGAGCTTCTGCCTTTTCAGTCAGGAAGTAAGTGGATGATTTTAAAGACAGTGATTAATCTTAAAGGGGAGGGAGGGTGGCTGTGTTCCTCCTGCTGCACACAGCAAGCACTGAGCAATGTGAAGAATTTGGGGGGTTCTGTACACCTTTTTTTTTTAAAGAGGAGAGTGCCCTGGAGCGAGCATCCTGTCAGAGTATTTTCAAAGAAGGGACATAATCATCTGTAGTTGTCCCACGAGCTGTCTTCAAGTCACCTCAGAGTATTTGGTTGGCTTAGACTGGTGAGTTCATTCAGTGCTTACACTGGATGTTGTGTGGCTTCCCAGATGCCATGTGAAAACTTAGGCAGGCAGAGAAGGAAATTGGGAATGCAGTGTTTTCATTTATGGCTGAAGGAGAGCTCGCGCTGGGCTATAGGAAAAGTTTTATCACGGTCAGATTTAATCCAAACCATTCTGTGTAGTTGCAATAATAAATTTTCTAGTTTCCAGGTAATATACTTTAACTACAGCATGATACCAGTGATAGATTTCTTTTTTTATATACTCTAAGGCCCTTTATAGCTTTTCCAGTTCAGGGTAGATTTAAGATGTTGACAAGTGTCTTCAGAGACAATAAGGATTTTCGATTTCATCCCTCAACGCCACTGCTGACTTCAGTAAGGATTTCAGCAGAAGCATGCAGGGAATTTTGTTTTTCTTACATTGACTGTTGCAGAACACTTGATTTTTGTTTTGCAGACTAACAAGGGGGATGAGCTCTCGAATCGCATCCAGAATACGCTGGGCAACTATGATGAAATGAAAGACTTGTTAACTGACCGATCAAACCAGAGCCACCTCGTTGGGGTTCCAAAACCTGGGGTTCCTCAGACGTCTCTCCCCAAGCCCGATGACCATCTTATTGCAGACTCGAGACTGCCGCCTCCTCCTCCCATTTCCAGCACTACTTCTTCCGCACCAGCAGCCCTGTCTGCCCAGCAGAGCAAAAGCGCCACGATGGGTTGGCAGAAGGCTGGGCACAATGCCGCTTCGGATGGCCAGCAGAGAGCGAGCAAGCACGGGCACCGGTCGCTGGAATCACACAAGGGTGACTTCAAACTGGCCAACCAAAAATCCAGTCTGGAGAAATTAAAACGCTATGCATCAAGTCCCACCTCCTCCTCCTCTTCCTCCAACACTGCCCAGCAAAGCTCACTGAGGGCCACCCTAGGGGACAACGTCAACAGAGTGCAGCAGCCAGCAAAGCTCAATTGTAGCTCGGAAGGAGGAGCTCAAGCGCAAGAGAGGCCAGCAAAGCATGGTGGCGGGCACTGTGTCCAAAACTTCCCGCCTTCTCTTGCTTCGAAGCTAGCAGAAACCAACAGCTTATGTAAGGCCAATGGACGGCCAAGACCAGGCTCCTGATGAGTCTCCAAAGCTGAAGTTACCAGCAGAGACAACCAAGTCGTATAGGGGAGTGCCTTCTAACAAGCCTGATTCGGCCAGGACCAAGTCAAAGATAGCCAAGTTCAGCATTCCTAAGCAAGAAGAGGTAAGTGTTTTTATGCTTTTTATGACATACTCCCTTGAATGGATGGATGGTGCCTTAGAACTACAAATTGCATCTGTCTCTTTATACATTTTTAACATATTAGTTTGCATGTTGAATTTTGTTTTTTTAACATTGACCTAGTATATTGCAAATAGCAGCCTCACAGTAATGTAAAGACATCTCAACAGTGAAATGCTCACTGTCTTCAGGACCATAACACTTCCTACAATGTGTAGGCACATTTTCTAGTACTATATATTATTTCACTGACTTTTTTCCCTGAGTGGCTACATATAAAGTCGGGATATTTTTAATTCTTTTTTTTTTTTTTTTTGCTAGGCAGGTTTCTTTCTTCTAACTGTTCATATTTCATTGACTTCTTTCCCTTTGGCAATGATTAAATGAAGTGCTTGTGATCAGAAGTAGTTCTGCCATCCTCAATGATGTCGAAGTAGTTTCGCAATCTAAATAAATTACTTAAACAATATGAAATTTGTGGAATAGATGAGAATACAGCAATTAGACTCTCCTTTTCGTTCATAGAATCTGTTTCTGTTTCAAACCAATTTCTGAGAAGATTGAGGTTTGCTTCCTAAAGAATCACCATCTGTAGAAACCCAGCCATGCTACAAGTATGAGAACATGTCTGAAAAAGCTTCTAGACAATATTTCCATTATCAGCAGTAGATATGAAAGATTTCTGCTTGGACGTATTTTATGTTCATTTATTTCACATTCCGTTTATGCCAGTAAGACACCTTTCTTTATCAGTTATACACTCTGTGATTTTCTGTTAGATCTTTTTGGATGGGGAGGAAATGGTTGGTTTTGGAAGAATAAAGGGTGATTTTTTTTCCTGGGATGTATTCAGAGGCATGTATGCCAATACAAAGATGGTCATGTCATCCTCTTGTGTAAATTGGTAGAGCTCCCATGACTTAAAAAATTTACAGTATTTATAGGACTAAACGACTCTATTTGGCTGAATCACTGTGACTTTCTCAGAGCAGAGACAATGATTGTTTACTCTTATTTGACAGCTGTGGTGTGTCTTGAGATGTTTTTAGTCTTAACATTTTTGTTTCTGCATTGTTAAAGGAGAGGAAAAGTCTAATTTTTGATGGAGTTCTCTGGCCTCTTAATGCCTGTTTTTTGGAAATGGAGTTGGCTGTTGTATTCCCCCTTTGGTTCGGTTTGGGAAGGAAATCTGTCTGGAAGCAATTACTTCTCTGAGCTCTTTTAGGCATTATACCCATGTGGTTTTTCTCTAAGCTAAAGTTCCATCAGTTCCAAACAACACGTAGGTGATAATGTTGTTCCTGAAAAGGGGTTGTTTTGGGCTCTTAAGCCAGATTTGATAAGCAAATTTAGCATTCACAAACTGCTGTAATTGTGCAGATAGATCAGGTAATGGCAGATACTAATATCCATTTAGCTATTATTACCTCTTTCAGACTTGTGCTTCTATCTGTAAGTGGGAAGTATTGTTAGAATTAAAGACGCCTGTGGCAAGTGTCTGCATCTTTCAAATTTTCCTCCTTTACATGTATGCAATACTCTAAGGACTAGTTTGGAAAGGGGTTTTGATAGGCAATCATTTGTCTGAAATTCAGGATTTACCATTTGCATCCAAATTCGCCTACCTCAGAAAAGAAAGCTTTAATTTGTTGTATGTAATCCACGCTGATGCATAAGGGTAAATTTATACTGCAGTTTCTAGAGATGTAGACGTGTTTGAGATTGCTTTAAACTGACTTGCTTAGATACTGATGGCAAGGTAGGCTATGGCAGGAGAGAGGGGACTGCAGGGTGGCTACTAAAGTGTTCACCAACTTCTCACAGATTTTATGGGATGCAGTATTAATGAAACAGTATTTGATAACATAATATCAACATTTAGCTGAAGTTGAAGGAAATGGACAAAAACCATTGTCTGGTAGGTTAAAAAAGAGCTAAGCGATTTTAAAAAATAATGAACAAATTACTCAGAAGAAAAATAGTAGGTACTATAGGTGTTGAGGTTTGAAACTGGAGCTAAAGAAAGGCAATGTTTAGATCTCATGTTGGAGGGCTGACAGTCCTGGTGATAAAAGTGCCCAGCTTTTTTTCCTTTATCCTGACATTTCCTTTGTTCTAACATTTTCCATCCCAAGTGCCACAAGATGAAATTGGTAACCCCCTGGTATTGCTACAGGGAGAAATATTGGCCAAGACTGAAAGTTTTTTCAGTCAGTGTTGCTTAATCCACCTCCCTTTAATTTTCAATCATACTTCTTTTTATTTCAAAATGTTTTTCCATTCTTGTTATTTGTATCATACATCTCCTAGTACAGTTTTGTAAGAATTTCCACGCGTTTTTTAAATTTCTGCTTTCAGACTCATAAAACTTCTCCTTGCATCAAATGTTCGCTGTCCCCTACTGGGGACAGAAATTTTAAGCTGCTCTCAGCACAAAAGCTGTCATGGTCCTGTGAACATTTGCAGGCAAAATGAGGCCTCTCTTATTCAGGGTGGGGCTAAAGGTGATGGCCAGGAAAGATCTTGTATTCCTAATGGCCATGGGAAGAGTAGACATGCCATATAGGGTGATCGTGAGGGAAAGCAGGCTGACAAGTAGGCTACAACAGTGTCTGGGAAGCTGTATGGAAACAGAAATGAGAGTGGCAGAAAGCTGCCTAAGAGCAGCCAGGAGAGTATGGGAAGCAGGAGAGGGGCAGAGAGCTTGAGGATAGGGTATCTGGAGTGCAGGTGGTGGAATGGAGCTTTATGTCTGCTAAAATAAAAGGTGTGTGGCTGAGATGGGCGAGGTAGGGCAGTTAGTGTGCTCTGGGGGGTTAGTGTAGGCAGCACCGTGAGGTGTTGCTGGCTCGTGGTCAACTGCTTGTCCACCAGGTCCCCCAGGGTCCTTCCCTGAAGAGCTCATGTCCAGCCAGTCAGCCCCCAGTCTGTACTGGTGCTGGGGTTATTTCTCCCCCTGTTGAGGAGTTTACATTTCCCCTTGTTGATCTTCCTGAGGTTCCTGTTGGCCCATTTCTTCAGCCTGTCAAGGTCCCTCTGAATGGCAGCACGACCCTCTGGTGTATCAGCCACTCCTCCCAGTTTTGTATCATCTCCAAACTGGCTGAGGGTGCACTCTGCCCTATCATCCAGGTCATTAATGAAGATGTTAAATAGTATTGGCCCCAGTATTGGCTGTGGGGGTACACCACAGGACTTTGTGCCACTGATCTCCACCCTCTGGACCACTTTTATAGCATTCGCTTTCTGTCTGCAGGCCTAATTTTGTCATTACACATTTTTTTTCTGCTTTCAGCTCCTAAAATGTGTTCATAGTGATACCCTGGTCCAAAGCGTATACTTTTCAACTTGACCTAGACAAGTTTACAGCTGCTTAACTGAACTGAAAACTGAACTGAAGGAGGCTGTAAGGGAAAAAGATGCAAATAGAGTAAGCAAGATGTGAATGCAGGGTGTAGATGTGAGATAAAACATGAGACTCAGAGGAGGAAAAATTGGGGGGTGGGGGGCAGGGGAGAAGCTGCCTAGCCTGACTAAGTCGAGAAGTGAATGATGAGAAAAGACCATTTCCCCAACTCCTGCAGAGTTGGGGCACATGAAGTGATGAGCACTTCTGTGTGACGTTTCATTTTTATTTGGAACATCACGCGACTATAGGCAACTTCAAGTTCACACAGAAAACCAGGAAACAAGAATATATTGTTATAAATCTCCTAATTTGCAAGTCCACTTACTAATGCATTCGAGTCGAGTCCTCTGTTTCCATGCACTTGCATTTAGCTTATAGTACTTTCCAGAGTCTATCAGTATATCTAATACCTATCCACTTTCATCTGTGTTTACCAGTTTGAAGGAACCATCAATGGACAAATAAACAGATAATGAAACAAAGTTAAGCCTCCCTGTAAGAACTGAAGAATAAGAAGCAATATGTCACACAAGTGTGTGTCTTCGGCAGGATATAAAATCCTCTTCTGTACATCCCTTGAGGTTTTCAGAGAAACAGGGCACAAAGTTGGCTGCAGTACAATTATTATTCACTGGAAATAAAATCACTTGAATACAAATTATAGACCATTACTTTTCAATACATGAAAAAGGTTGATTTTTAATGTAGTTCAATACCTCATTTAATATTTTTAATCAGTTTTGGAAAGCCTTCAATATCTTGACACAGACTGAAGCTTATAATTTTTTAAAAATTGTTTTAATGAGAATAACTTGGATAGACCTGTGTGTAGAAAGGTAGCAGTTACTCATTTGGGAATTTAATCTTTAGGAGCCAGGTTCATCAGTGTTAATTAGAATCCATACCCAACCTCCCGGTCCTTCCAAAATTATCATACTGCTCTGTAGAAATGATAGCTCGTCATCTCAAGTGCTGCTATTTCACATTTTGAACTACTTAGAAATTATATTTCTGTAGGTAAAAACCCGCTGTATTGGATAGAAGGGAAGAGAAATTTGATACGAGGGTATAGAGGAAAAGAGACAGGAAAATCAAGTGCCTCTCTTTTCTAAAATTTTGTTGAGTGAGACAATAAGAAAAACCTAAGATGGCAAATCATGTTCTTTATATCTGAGTTCTGTTTTTGAATTTCATCTTACAAGCTGTATGCTGCTTTTTTATTGCATTGAAGAAGCCTTACTTCTTGTCCTTTGCTTACTTCTCTAAGGGTTATGGACAAGGAAATCGAGATTGTATTCAAGAACGACTAGCAGTCTAATGGTAAAAAGGATAGATTTGGTTCTGTTAAATTTGGGAACACATTTATGTTAAATGTAGATAAGGTCGTCATGAGGACATGTTCTTGTTCCGCTTCACGGAGTACTTACACAACAACTTCTGCAGCAGAAGTAACGCACAATAGATTAAATGTTGAAATTTTTGCCCTGATCTTACTCAGGCAAAATCCTATT